TTGCTCTGATGAGTATGAAGTAACTCTGAACTTGTTACATATTCTCGATATGGTTTTGAATATTATTGAATGGTGGCGAAACACTTTAAATACGACTGAGTTTTCTTTCTTTGGTTATTGTTAGTGACATTGGTTTGAATTGAGCGAAGGTTTTGTTTCTCTTGACCGCTGTTCATCTTTCTTGTTTGGTATGGTTGAAGTGTAGAACATTACAGTCCAAATTATTTATTTGTCGTGTTGCTACCCTTACGTTAAGGTTGGTGTTTCGAAGGAGCCTTTTTAGTTGAATAAAGATTTGAATGTTTAGTAGAAATCATAGATAACCTTAGAAGTTAAAGGATCCATTGTTTTAAAAATACAAATTATTGAGTTCTCTAAAAGTATAGATCCCGATGAAGTGAAATGGATATTGAGGATTCAGTCAGTTAACTGTTCTACAGTCACAAAAGCTTGCACAGCAGGCACCATCTGTGGCTGTGCTCCTCATTTGCCTAATACAAATAAGATAGAATTGCTTTTATATGGTTCAAGTTTTTGCTTCTATAGAACATGCAAACACATAAATACTCTTAAGTTCCATTTTTTTGAGTTTGCGCACCTTGAATGCAATCAATGACCATAAATATATAATTTTTAATCTATTTAGAGCTAATAACAGCAAGAATTTTGAGCTAATAACAGTCCAAATTATTGTCTAAGCCTCTCTGCAAATAAACTTTAGCATAGTGTGGAATCTGCAATCTGTAATCTGCAGATTTGTTGTTAATATTTTTTGTAACTGCTGCTGCATTCTGTAGAATATCCATGCTGTTAGCATTATTGCTGCTGCAATCTGTAACTTTTGTTAATGTTTTCACTATGCCTTTTGTGCTTCTATATATCATTTTTTCCGTCAGTAAAGCATGCTTCCATAACTACAAACAAATACACAAATAATTATAGGAGAATCTAATTTTTTGTGTCTCCTCATTAATTTCTTTTCTCTATAACTGTTGGATTTCATGTTGAAATCTGAAAGTCTTACCTCTTCTATATAACTGCCAATATCTTATTTGTGTAGGGAAATGGAGGTGATCAAATTTGAAGTGGATGATGAAGAGTTTTTGAACTATTGTAAAAGTTTAAATACATATTTGAGTTATGTGTACACATTTAGAATATTGATGTATAAGTATGGGTATGTGTACACAACACATACTATCTTTTGAAGTACTTTATGGGAAATCTATAAATTTGAATTACTTATTAACGCTAGAGATTATTTATTGCAATATAATATTGGAGTATTGTGATTAGAAATTGTGGCATAGGACTGTAAATTGTGTATGCACTTGAGCAAGGACAACACTTCAAAGTGTTGTCAATCATTAGATAGAAAAGGCAACACTTGATAAGTGTGGGCAATATGGTAGCAAAGGCCACGCTTCAAAGTGTAGCTTATAAAGCAACACTTATAAATGTAGCAGCAGAAGCGTGGCTTTTTCTCTTTTAGGCTACGCTTGTAAGTGTAGCTGATAAGGCAACACTTCTAAGCGTAGCTACAAAGTGTGGCCTTTTTGACTTTGAGGCTACGCTTAAAAGCGTTGCTCATATGGCAATACTTCTAAGCGTAGGTAAAAAGCGTGGCCTTTTTTCCTTTTGGCTACGCTTTTAAGCGTAGCTGATAAGGCTACGCTTGTAAAGCGTCGCCTAAACTCTAAGGTTTCGCTGCTTTCGGCCACACCTGGAAAAGTGTGGCTTAAAGTCAAAAAGTGTGGCTTTTTATCAAAGGACACACTTTTTCATAGTTTAGGCCACACTTTTCTAGGGTGGTTGGAGACATAAAATGTTGTAGTATCATATCCAAACATTTAATTTAAACCTAAAACTATCAAGAGTTTAATGAGAAATAAGATTCCTAAAAATTTAAAAAAATGTTAATTATTGAACAAGGTGATAATCATTATTCAAGACTAAATCATAAGTCAAACTTCATTTAATATATGTTTTGTCAATATAGCATATTTAGAATTTCATATGTTTTTTACTTTTTCTTAATAGTGTAATTATTAGAAAAACTACACATTTCTTAATAGTGTTATTATTTGAAAACTACAATCTTAAGAGAAAATAGGCTTGAGATAACTTAATTTTGTTGCTACTATTACAATGAATTACTATTATTATTATTGATTTAGTTAGGGTTTCTTCATAGGGTCGCTCAATGCCTTTAAACATGAGGCATATGCCATAGGACCCCAAAATTGAAAGGCCTAATTTTTTGGAAAAATAAATTTATCTTAACCTTTTTGTAGCAAAAAGAAAGAATTTTTAATTTGTTTCCAAACTCATTTTTATGGATCAATTTTTAAAATTATCTTCTACATGGTATGCTTAAGATCATAAAATATAAAACTTTTTTTATCAAAAAGAAAGAATTATCTTGAATCTCACGTCAAAAAAGTAATAAAAATTTATGCCTCCAATTTATTTTTGGCGTTAGACCACTAATTAGATTGAACCGCCAACGAGTTTATTTATTAATTATGTGTACTAACTAATGCTAAAATTTTTCAATTAAAAAAGGACATATGTTGAGTATTGATTAATTTTTTCTTATTCATATTTTTTACTTGTGATTTGCTTCCAACACTCCCTACACCAACTTAAAACCAAAAAAGGTGTATTTATTAGATTCGAAATTGTTCTAGGAGGAATTAGGACATGTAAAGAAAGTTTGTCCTTAAAAATTCGATCATAGTTAAAAAGAGTATGTATGCCTTTTTAAAAAGAAAAAAGAAATAATACGTAAATACTTGACTATGTTTTTCCATAACTTTGTTTTCTTTGGAATTCGTGGGTTCTAGGGCTAAATAACATCATTCTCTTTCTTTTAGTTAGATTCCTAACATGATGTATTGTATCTATTAAAAAAATATTGTTGTTGTTTATTAAATGTCCGTTCATAACTTATTTTTCTTTCTTCAATCTTAATATTGTTTTTCTAAAATATTATGTCATAATAGAACATAAATTTTTTTGTCTATGACAAGCAAATATGAGCTTAAATATTGAAGATTCAGGTGCACTAATAAACTTAAATAAATAAGGGTTTTAGCTAGATTCAAAACCTAGTTTTGTGAGTGATATCTCTAGCACAATGATAGCTCTACACTCATTAAGAGAGCGCTGTTAATTTTTTTTTATTGTCAGAGATAGATAAACATGTATATGCACCCACGCATATAAATGTGGGTCACGCTACAATAAAATAGTGCTTAGCGACGGATATTAGTGACGAAACTAATTATGTCACTATATAGCAACGGATAAGCAATGAATTAGTCATTTCGTTGCAAAAATTACAAACAATTTCTTGAGTTATAACATAGAAACGGATTGGAGAAGGAATATTCGTTGTGTCACTAAATAATACCAGGAAACTTTGGCGCCTTAAATTTTGATACGAATTTTGCAACAAAGTAGCTGTTACAAATTTAATCATATATTGTGACGGAATGAGTGTGAAAAAGTTTTGCTCGAATTCTAAATATATTTTTATGGAATTTAACTTTTGTAGTGACAGAAATTTTCGTCGCTAAAATTTACTGTAGATAATTAGATTTATTTGTAGCGACGGATGTCATAATCCATAGCTAAGTTGTTTCTAGTTTATTTACAAAGTCACGCTCTTCAGTCAATAGAAAACACAAACGAAAACAAAAAAATTAGAATCCTGAAAAAGTAGGGCTTTCTAGCAAGAGCAGCAGATGAGAGACTCTCCTATCTATCAGGTATGGCTCTTGTCCTTTCTCCTTTCGATTTCTCCCTTCTCCTTCTCCTTCAATTTATCCCATCTCAGGAGAAAGGTGAAATTGCGCTTGTATCCTTCATCTTTAGGTGAAAGGTGAGCTACTTCTTTTGGGAATTTCTATTTTTTCATCTGTTCGGTGATCTTCTAGTGCGGTGAAGAGTAGGATGTTGACTTCTACTTGGTAAAAAATATCTCAGGGAAAACAATGGATTTATCAGGGATGACCATTAGTCGTCTGGAAACTTTCTTGGATACTTGATGTTAGTATATTGATGTACACGTAATGAGATTCTTGTATTTATTTATTGAATGGTCTCTTCTGACTTGTCCTTTTAGTTGCTACACTTTTTTCAGAACAACAACTAGTTAGAAGGCCTTAAGTTTTTCTTAGAACACTTAATGATAGAGTATTCAAATAAGGAGTA